CTCAGCGAGCTAAAGCCACGTGTCACAGAAATCTTCCAGCTCCACCTGCCGTAGACCCCAACTGCTGACAAGGACTCTCCCCATGGCCACAGTATCTGGACCCTCCCCCAGCTGGGCAATCATTGCACATGGTCATCCCTGACCCCCACTAGGTTTGGGGTGGCCCATGTTCAATAAAGGGTCTAGAAGGAGAGAGCATGTGGTAGCTTGTCTGTGTGGTCCTTTGTCCTCAACCCCAAAGCCCCTCCCTCCTGCCCCTGCTGCTCCCTGGCCCTGCTGCTGTTTGCTGAAGGGTGCAAAGGTTCCTGTGGCTGCCGAGGTCCTGTCTGGCCACAGTCCCACGATAGGACATGGCCCAGAGAGCAGCACTGCAAGGGGCACGAGAACCCCCATGAGCCATCGCGTTGCCTGTGCCCTCCTGCCCACAGGTTTTACCATGAGAATATTTCAATTTAATGACATCATGGGGAAAATGCCATCTTGCCCCAATAAACTGGCGACTGGAGGCTGAGGCTTACTTGAGTCCCCCAGACTGTCAGGGCCTACTCCCATGTCTAGCAGGGCAAGTGGCCATGGAATAAATCCCGTAAGCAGCTGTGATCCAGACTGGTGGTTGTTAACTGGGAGGGACATGGGGCTAGAGGAGACCATTCAAGACCAGGAGCCAGAGCTGGGCTGCTGCCTCCTCCCATCCACACCTTTATTTCCCTGCACTGCCCAGGTGTTTGCAGAGATGCTGCCATCTCCAACAGCTCTGGGGCCTGAGCCACTGCTGGCCATTCCCCACCTGTACAAAGGGAACTTTCCCACACAGGCCAGCCCCAGATGTGGGGAATGAACAGTGGGAAAGAGAGCATCCCCCTCCCCAGGGCTCACCACTCTGGTGATCCCACTCTAGATGGGCTTCCTGGCATATTCGCGGCGGTACTTGGAATCCACCCGGGTCAGGTACCAGGTTCCGGGGAAGAGATCCGCCTGGGAGCCGTGGGGAGCGTGGTCGGCTGCGGGGAGAGGGCAGTGATGCTCCGGGGTGCTGTGGGGTCCCAAGAAGGCAGACTCGGATCCCCCCAGCCCCACTCACCCAAGTGATGGGTTTCCTCCCGTCGCTTCATGATCTCGGCGAAGTCCTGTGGGGCCACGCGCTTGCGGGCGTCCAGGCGAGCGGGCAGGTCAGCCAGGCTGGACACCAGCTTGTCCAGGGGTGAGCCTGGCAAGGGGCACCCCGCGTGTGAGATGGCAGCACTGACAGCCCCACGCTGCCCTCCCTCCCCAGTCCCTCTCTCCCTGGGGCCCACCTGGGGCCGCATCCTGCGAGACACGGAAGGAGAACATGCTGGCGGCCAGTCCCGAGCCGTAGGAGAAGGCACCGATCCGGGAGCCGGCCAGGTCCCGTGCTGAGCACCTGAAGCGAGAGGTGAGGGGGTTACAGGACATTTGGGCTGAGGGGGCAGTGTAGGGGACTGCCGCCTTTGTAGGGATATTGGGGCCATATTTCTGAAGGAGTGTAGCCCTGGAGTGCAGTGGTGCCAGGGAGCCCCTGGGCAAGGCTTTTGTTCCTCTCAGAGCCTGTCTGTTCCCATGGCTCCTTTCCCATGGGGTCACTCATTCTACTGGGCATGACAACAAGGGTTTTCATCCTCCTGGTGATGAGAGAAGGGCTTTATGCACTGGCCCAGCTCCAGGAAGCTGGGATGAAAAGTCTGGCAGGGAGATGGTCTGGAGCAGGATGCATCCACACTGAGGGTTGTGTGCAATGAAACGATCAGGTTCTGTTGAGGCACGGGGAGATGAGGACTGGGAGATGAGCTCTGCCCCTCTATCCAGCCAGGGAGTGCCCTCCCCAAAATGACCTCTTCCCTCTTCCCAAGCCAGTGTTTTGGGGGACTCACTGGGACAGGAGGGAGGCCAGGCAGCCATACATGGATGGCGTGTACATGTTGCCATTGCGGGAAGAGAGGAGCAGGGAGGGCTTGGTCTTCTGGTTGAAGATGTCCTGGCTGGCTGCCTGGAATGCCTTCTCCACCTCCTTACTGGTGTAGGTGTCCTCCAGCTTCACATCGCTGCCCAGAGAGAGACCAGCTGGAACCCCAGACCAGCACATCCCTGGCTGGGCTGCGGGATGAGGACACAGCACAAGCACCCACCGGAAGGATTGCAGCCCCTTGTAGAGACCAGAGGCTGTGTCGGGGTTGGGGGAGGCCAAGAAGTCATTCAGCAGCAGCCGTCCCACCGACTTCTGCACCAGCTTGCAGAAGGGCGAGTGGAAGATGATGTATTTGAAGTCATCGAGGGTGAAGGGCCTCTGGATGCCAGCTGGGAGGCAACACGGGGCCATCAGTATCCAGGGGGCTGCGCTGGGCACCTCAGGGGTGCTGCCACTCACCCTGCTGCCACTGGGCCTGCGCCTTCCGTCGGTACACGGCGTAGCAGCGGTCCAGTGCCCGCAGGTAGCACTGGATGGAGAGCTGCCCGTCCACCACCGGGTACTCAGAGGACAGATTCGGCTTGTAGAAGTCATAAGCGTGCTCCATGTGGGTTCCACGCAGGCCTGGGGGCACAGGGAGAGCCAGCATTGCAAGGGCCCAGCCTGGTGGCAAACATCCAGAGGTGCTGCCTGCCATGCCACCCCTGGAATCCAGCAGCCTCCCTGAGCCCTCCACGGTGCCCAGAGGGATGTGGCTATCCAGCATGCTGGAGTAGCCAGCAGGGTCTGGCTGAGCAGCTCTGCCCAGGGCTGGGGCATGGATGCATGGCCCCCAGGGACAGCAGGACAGCACCCATCAGCTCGCCACCCCCAGGGCCTCACGGCACCGACCTCTCTCCAGCACCAGCGGGGCGTTGGGTCCCACCAGCATGGCGATGGCACCGGCACCTCCCGTGGGCCGCGCGTTCCCCGTGGCGTAGACAGCGATGTCCCCACACACCACCACGGCGTAGCGACCTGGGGGAGGACAGAGGGACTGGCAGGGCCACCAACGGGTGGCAGCCTCCATCCCACGGCCCTTGTGTGTTCCCATCTCCATGCTGCCAGGTGTCGCACCAAAATGGGCAAGAAACAGGGGTGACAGAGAGCCTGGAGGCACAATGGCTCCCTTTGCAGTTGGAGCATCTTTGGGTTTCAGGCCACCTCCTGCCTCCTTCCCCTATCCCAGCACCCATTATCCAGCCCCACAGCATGGTCCCTGCCTGTACTCACCATCCCAGGCACTGGACTCCACCCAGGCGGCTGCGTTAAAGAGCGAGGCCGTGCCCCCGTAGCAGGCGTTGGTGGTGTCGATGCCCTCCACATCAGTGTTGCCAGAGTCGTGGAAGAGTTGCATGAGGACGGTCTTGACGGCCTTGGATTTGTCGATGACGGTCTCGGTGCCCACCTCCAGGCGGCCGATGGCATCCCAGGAGAGGCGCCCGCGCTCCACCAGCCGCTGCACCACGGTCAGGCACAGGGAGTTGATGTCCTCGTGGGCGGCGCAGAAGCCCATCTGCTTCTGGCCCAGGCCCCGTGTGTACTTGCCAGCCTCCACACCATCAAACCGCTCCAGCTCCTCCTGATCCACATACTGGGCAGGGAAGTACACCTCCAGGGCCAGGATGCCCACGTCCTTGGGCCAGGCACCAGTCCCAGCAGCACTGGAGAGGCTGTGGGACAGACCGAGTGGCAACAATCCCATGGCAGCCTTGGGCACAGAGGGTGGCCCTGTGGAGATGCCACCAGCGAGCAGCCCAGGCTGGGAGCACCCCAAATCCCTGGTAGCTCCTTGTGCATGGCAGTGCTGTGGGGAGGAGGGAGAAGCTCCCCTTCCCCAGCAAGGTTTAAGAGCTCAGCCAGCTCCCCAGCTCTACCCTGGTTATGTCTCCAGCCCCCCCGATCCATGTGGGTGCTCACCATGCCCTCTGCCAAGCCGTGGGGTGCAGGGCGCCCCGGGGTGCCTGCTCCGGCCCCGGCGGTGCCCACCTCGCCCCCCAGCAGCGCGCGGCGCGCCCGACCAAGCGCAGCATCTTCGCCCCGGCCACCGTGCGGATGAAGGGACGGCCGGCCGGACAGATGGACAGCGGGATGGGCCTTGCGTAGCGCTTTTATAAACTGCGTGGGCAGCTCGGCACAGCCCTCCCGGCCTTTATCAGCCTGCCGGACCCTGGCGCTCAAAGGTCACCGAGCGCCAGCCAACACAACAGGGGCAGCGCGGCTTCGGAGGGGGGAGCTGCGAGGTGTCTTCGTCTTGTGTGCCCCAAAACCCGGGGACAGGGAGCCGGGGCTGAGCAGCGGGACGGGCTGTCCCGCAGCCCCGGCTGCCCGGGGGCAGCGGCAGCTCCGGTGCCAGGCTCGCCGGCACGGCTGCGGGCACTGCGCGGCTGCCCCCGCGGGGAGCAGGGGGAGGCCGGGCTCTGGGGCCGGCACTACCCGGGGCGCAGTCCGCTCTGGGGGGGTAAAAACCCCACGGGCTGGGTGGGGGCAGAGACATCTTCATAGCAGCAGAGCAAACAGCCACGTGATGCTTGTGGCTGAACAGATAACAGGGACACTAAAGGGACCTTTGGTCCCGGTGCTGCTGTCAGCATGGCCATGGGTCTGTGTTGCAGCCCCCGGATCCCTGTGGATCTGTGTGCACCTGGGGGACCGCCTGTCCCCATACCTGCACACCCACCCGCGGCAGATCCCGTCCCCACCCACACCTGTGTCCCAGGTCTCCGTGTCTGCACTCTGGGGACACTCCTGTCCCCCCGACCTGCTCCCCAGGGACGGCTGTGGTGTTTGGCACCCGAGGGCTGGTATGAGCAAACCCAAGCGCTCAGCCAGGAGAGCGACAGTCCCCGCAGCTCCTGGGGACTCATCCCCAAACAGCTCTGCCGCACCGGCAGCACAGAATCCTCTGGAAGCCGGGAAGCTCGGGGAGCCGAGGCAGAGCCCGTCTCTCTCTCTCTCACGGACCAGCCCAGAGCTTTGTACCAGCACCAAGCTCACACAGCACTTGCATGCTCCTTTTTTTATAAGATGCATTTATAGGAGTTGCGGGGAGAGACGCGGGGTTGGCACAGGAGGAACGCTGCCAGCGCAGGGTCCCCCACGGGCCAGGGCTGTGCTCAGTGCAAGGGGTAGAACTTGCAGATGTAGTGATGCTTCTCGGAGCAGTCGGCATCGGACCACGCGGAGAAACCTGCGGGACAGACAGGCAGGGGGCTGGCGGGGGCCACGGCGAGGACGGGCACCAGCTGTGCCCACCGCAGCCCTGCAAGGGGACGGGACCTGCAGGAGGATGGAGGCAGGGCAGTGCCGGCCGAGCCCGAGGTGGGTGCGGGGAGCGGGCACTCACCGCTCTGATGGGTCAGCACGGCGCAGCTCCCCCCGTGGGCACCGTTCCCAGGCATCTCCCTGGTGGCCCTGTAGTCCGTCCCACTCGTCCACTGCCAGGCCTGGCTCTGTGCAGGGCGAGGGGGGTTCAGAGGCATGGCCCTGCTGTCCCCCAGCCCCCCCATCACCCCTGCCACCCACACCTCACCTGTTTACTCTTTCGGAGTCCAATCCAGATGGGCTGCACACGCTGGTAGTAGGAGATGGTTCTCTGCAGGGTGGCTGCCTCGTTGGCATCCTCCACCCAGGCCAGGTGGGCGCCTTTCTGGACATCCTGGCACCAACTCTGCAGGGAGAGGGGTCTGTGCCAGGGCACCTCGGGGAGACGAGGAGTCCCTGTTCCCCTGTGTACCTCGGTGGGCTTACCTCAGCCTCGTCCCAGGTCCGGGGCACAGGGAAGTAGTTGAAGCAGCTGAGCTTGTAGTAGGACCAGCCATCGGGGCAGTAGTTTATGTACCTGCCGTCTGTTTGGGGAGAGCGGTGGGCAGGCATGAGGACAGGTGGCATCACTGCCTGGAGAAGAGCGTGGCTCCCTCCTGGCCCAGCTACAAAAGCGGTTGCCCCCCCAGCCGTGGCACTCACCGACTGGCTGCAGGAGCCCCACGCAGCCCAGCAGCAGGAGGGCGAGTCTGGCTGATGCCTCCATCCTCCTTGCTCCCTATAAAGGCTCGGGAGGGTCACACAAGGTCCCTTGGGGACAGAGGAAGTCCCTACTACCTGTGCCCAGAAAGTGCAAACCTGCCCGGTTGTGGGCTGAGCCTGGCCCCTCTGAGCCGCCTGGAGGAGGTGACAGGCTGTGGCTCTCTCTCTGCCCCCCGGCACAGGTCACTGCCCCATGCCTGCACCCCGTGCCCCAGGCATGGCTTGGAGCCTCCAGCCCACACTGGCAGCAGATTGTCCGGGTCTCACCAGTCCGGTAGAGCCAAGCTGCTCTGTGGGGACACAGGTCGGAGGACCCCAGCGAGGCAATGGCACAGGTGGGGCTGCAGGCACTGCGTGCACGGCGACGTTTTCACGCCCCGAGCTCGTAGCGCTGCCCAGACTGGGGAGGGAAATCGGCCACATCAGCGCAGTTCCCTTTTATCTGGGCTAATCCCTGGGCACTGGAGCCGATTTGCAGATTCAGCTCATCTTCCCATCAAAGAAGCAGCAACAAAAGTCAATGCAGGCTGAAAAATGCAGCATCACAGCCTGCCCCATCCAGCGAGGGCAGAGCTCAGCCCCGGGGCTGCCGAGGAGAGGGACCAGCTCCTGTTTGCCCGTGGGCCAGCTCTGAGCATCCCGAGGCCCCAGCTGCCCTGTGAGAGTCCTCTTCCTCACCTGTTGTCCGGAGATGGTGAGAAATAGTGGCTGGTCGTGGGTCACTGGGACAGGAGAGGAGAGGAGCTGCCCTTTATAGCTTGGTGCTCACCAGCATCTGTTTGCCCTCCTCAGGTGATTCTCACCATAAAAATCTTACTGCTGACCCCCCTCCATCCCCCCCACTTTGCTGGAAAATTGCCCAGATCTTCAGTTTGCATGTCTCCATAAACAGACAGGAAGAACCTGTCCTAGTTGGTCAATAAACACCCTGCAATCATCATTAATTGCTCCCACGATACAGATATAATCTTCCAGCCCAGAGCAGCCTGGCACCTGGCAAGGATGCCCGCTGGGCCAGCCCTGGATTGCCCGGGGGCTGGCGCGGGTGAGCCCCGGGGGTGAATCCCCGATCCCGGCCAGGGCATCCCTGCGACCAGAGGCCGGGCCATGGGTCCGACCCCCCTGGCACTGCCCCTGTCCCCAGCCAAGGGATGGCACCCGGCTCTGCCATGCGTCACCCACACCACCCTTGTTTGAACTGCCGGCGATGTTTGCGAGCAGGATGCGGGACGCCGGGATGTGCAAACAGCCTGCAGCTGGCGATGCCACCAGATAGCGGGGAGGATGCCCAGCCCTCGGGCCCGGCCCTGACGCAAGCCTTCGTCACTCTGTGTCCCTCCGGGAGGAAGGGGCAGCTCTACAGCAGCAGCCCCTCGCTGCCCCTGCCCCAGGCACTCCCTGCAGCCCCAGCCCGGGGAGGTTGCTGCCAGCACGGAGCCACAGGGATGAGCTCCCGGTCCCAGCAGCTGCAGCCCTTCGGCAAGATCTGGCACAGCCTTCTCTGCCATGGTCCTTGCTCCTCGCCCCTTGCACCTGGGGGAGGCAGCTGGAGTTCTGCACGTTCCTGCTGCCACCACGCTGCTCTGCAGCGGCACTTCACTGGCTCCTGATGGACCAGAGCAGCTTTGAAAGATCATCCTGCTGCCACCAGCTCCGGCCAACGCCTGGCTCTCCCTCCACAAAACCCTTGGTGGAGGCTGGTGGGAAGGAGGGGAGCAGCCCTTGAGGGCCTGGTGCTCGCCAGCATTAGTGTGACCCCAGAGGCAGCTACCTGCAGAGGATCCAGGCTGAGCCCTGCAGAGGATCTAGGCTGAGCCCTGCAGAGGATCCAGCTACCTGCAGAGGATCCAGGCTGAGCCCTGCAGAGGATCTAGGCTGAGCCCTGCAGAGGATCCAGCTACCTGCAGAGGATCTAGGCTGAGCCCTGCAGAGGATCCAGCTACCTGCAGAGGATCCAGCTACCTGCAGAGGATCCAGGCTGAGCCCTGCAGAGGATCCAGCTACCTGCAGAGGATCCAGGCCCAGCTTCCCCCCACATGGAGATCTTGCTGTCAGGCTCAAGCCATGGGATCTGCTGTGGGCTCTCCTCTGCAGCAACATTTGCTGAAACGTGCAGCCGGTGAACGCTGCTACACCCACAGGGAGCAGCTCACTGACAGCGTGCAGAGGCAGGTCTGGCTTCTGCCCTGAGCAGGGAGGAGGATCAGACCTCTCTCCTTCACCCACACAGTGGGATAGAGCTGCTGCTGCTTGCTAGGCATCCTCTGGGATCCAAGGGGTGAAACCTTCTCGTATCCAAACACAGCTGCTGCCTCCTATCAGTTCTGAAAGAAACATCCTGCCACACATCAGCTGATCAATGGCAAAACCCTGCAAACATAGCAACTCCCCAGAAAACAGGGCTCCACCCTTGATTTATGGAAAAAGAATGAAAAAGGTCCCCCAAAGAGCCTGAGGCTCCTCCAGTACTCCTCAGTTAGATAAGGGATGCAGCAGCTCCCTGCCTGGATGGTTCAGTTTGGATACAACACAGCAAGTTTCCACAAGCCCCTGGCCATCCCAGGCTGGGGAGGAGCAGCCCCGAGGAGACACAGCTTCAAGTCCCAGCCTGAGCACCAGTGAGCTCCATGCTGCTGTGCCCGGGGCTCGGCAGAGCTCACTAAACTTTGGCACAGATGTGCAAGCTGTGGGAGAACATGGGTGAATGCTTCCCGGAGGTTTGGACTCGCCCAGCTGGCTCTACCAGGAGATAAAGGAGCTGCACTGTTTGAATATTAAACCCTTAAAATACCCTCAGCAACTTTACCCCAGCTCAGCATCGTAATTCAGCTATTGGCTCCATCTGAGTCCACAGCAAGAGCTGGAGAACAGCCAGGTGAGCACCGGTGGAGCCCAAGGCTTCAGTGGCACCTCTGTGCTCCAAACACAGCTCAGCAGCTGCTGACAGTTTGTTTTCTGATTGCCCAAGTCAAACTCTTCAAGCCTGAGACGAACCCAGAGTGGTGGTGATTCCCTGTTTCAGAGGCTGGAGAATCACACATCTTCTTAGTCTGGAGAAATGGAGGCTCAGGGGGGACTCTGTGACTCTACAACAACCTGAAGGGAGGCAGTAGACAGGTGGGGGTTGGTCTCTTCTCCCAGGTAAGAAGCAACAGGATGAGAGGAAATGGCTTCAAATTGCACCAAGGGAGGTTTAGATAGGACATGAGGGAAAATTTTGTCAATGAAAGGGCAGTTAGGCATTGGATCAAGGCTGCTCAGAAGGATGTGGAATCACCATCCCTGGAATGTTACAAAAACATCTGTATGTGGCATCTGGGGACATGGTTAAGGGATGAACACAGCAGTGCCAGGTTAAAGGCTGGACTCGATGATTTTAGGGGGCTGTTCCAACCTTAAGGATTCCATGCATCAACTGCTAAGACAAAGCCAGGGAGGCAGCCCCAGCTCCAGGGTGGATGAGGGTCCTCTTCCCTAGTGGAAGGACAGGAAACAGCCAAGGGAAGCAAGCAGGACCTGAGGGAGCGAGTGAATCCACAGCCCCACTGCGCACTGCCTGGTCCACACTCACTCACCACCTGCCTAAAAGCCTTCCCTGGCTCCCCCAGGCAAGCAAGAGCTCTCACCCAAAGTGCCCAGGAAAGGAGCCACCCCAGTCCCTCCCCATCCTTCCCAGTATGCCCAGCTGCTTGCCTGCTGGTTACTGCCCCCTTCTCAGCTAACAAAGAGACCCAAAATCCATCTGCTACACCCACACCAGGCTTCTTCCAGCTCCCCTGGGTGGAGCTAAGAGGTGGGGTTCATGTGGTGCTGAGACAGAGCACTCCTGATTCATTTATAAGCCGGTGGCTGTGTCACAGGCACCCAGGAAAACAAAATGAAAACAGCAGCACACAGACACTGGGCACATACTTTTTATTCTGGGGATAAAAATTGCTTATACATTTGGCAGCAACTATTTTCATAAAAGACTTTTATAAAAATGTAAAAATAAGCAAATATTTTCCATTATTAATATAGGAAAATGCGCTTGTGAATGGTTACTCTACAACTTACGAGATAAAATACCACCTTAAGGAGATATTATCTTTACAAGTAGTTAAAAAAAAAAAAAAAAAAGAAAAGAAAGGCAGAGGGCCATCATATTAACAAGCCAGGCACGGAACCGGCTTCATTCCACAGAAAACACTCATCTTGTAAAAGGTAGCCACATATATAAAAAGGCACTTGGTTATTTGGAGCTAATGAGCAAAAGCCCTTTGTTTCTTTAGCATGGATGTAGCAACACTTCATTATCTGCAGTGAAACATGTACCTGGACAGAGCCCAGACCCCCGGAGGCCTGAGCCAGCTGCACTGAGCTCCCGCGGCCGCGCTGCCGCGAGCGTGCCGGGGAACGCCGTGTGTGCCGTGAAAAGCACCAACTTCACACAGAACTAAAAACTTCAGCCCAAAGCGACGGCCCTGGGAACCAGCTCCTCCTGAGGCCCTGCCTTCATGTACCATTGAGTGGAATTGGGAAAAAAAAAAACAAAACAAAAGCAAAGCAACTTTGACTCTCGATTAGAATGGACAGGAACAGCAGAGACAATACTGTACACGGTGGGGTGTTGGCTGGCCTGCTCGCAGGGGAGCGGCCTTCAGTCCTTTGGCAGCAGCCGGCACCTCGAGCTCTTTGGAAGGTGTGTCTGCAGCACTCCCCTGAAGAGGCAGGAGCAAACCATCCCCACAGGTGTTCACTTCGGCTGCCGGAGGTCTGGAGCCCTTCGGAGAAGCGCTGCTCTTGCGGACAAAGCAGAAGGAGCGGCTGTTTGCCTAAGGTCATGCCAGCTGGCTTCCACAGCGCCAAAACTATCGGGGCAGCCGCACCGCGAGCGGCCACACCGTCCCACAGCCACCTCGGCTGGGAGGTCCCCACTCAGGCTGGAGCTGAGAGCAGAGGACAGCCCCAAACCTGTGCACCAAGCTGCAGGAGGCAATGGTTCCTGAGCTATTTGGTCTGCTGCCACAGCCCAGCTCCTGGCACACCGCCCGTGCCGCTGGAGGCCTGCTGGGCAGGCAGTGCTCCGGCCTCCGCGCGCTGTGGGGGAAGACAAGGCAGCTCTGACTCAAAGGGACACTCTTCAAAGGGCTGGATGTCGTTCCTGACGCAGAAGGACACACACCGCAAACATGTAACCACGTGTTTGACACTTACTGATAACACCATAAAGAGGCAGCATATGGTATCTGGAGGACAGGACACACAGCCACCCTTGAATGGAGGGGAGGGGACTACTGTGCAAGAACGCTGGGAGCTTGTGTTACCAGTTTTTGAAACACTCGTGCTCATCCCAAAAGGCCTGTATCAGTTGCAGTGCATCTCTTCTGGCATGGGAGCCCACGGAGGCAGTCATGGACACTCCTGGCAGGATAGGGGCACGGGGAGGGTAGTGTGTCAAAATGGTCAGGGGTGTCTCGGGGAAGAGATGGGCCCACGGGTCACCGTGGTTGGAAGACCAGATCAGACCAGCGTTTTCGGGAGGGGAAAATAACAAAACAACCAACCTAAAAAGACTATATGCATATATAATCTCATAATACCTGGGGAGCAGGCAGTGAGAACACTAAGGGGTGTTAGTGGGTCTCTACAAGGCAAAGACTCCCGAAGAGGAAAGGGTGAAACTGCGTGACAGGAGAAGTCACTTGACCTGCAGGTGTTTTGGGAGGTCCAGCTCACTTGCTGAGCAAGAGAGGACAAGGGAAGGAGCAGGGCTAGGAACGTGGGTGCAGCTCTGAGCTGTGTCAAGACAAGGCAACTTGAACTCGAGGAGAACTAGTAGAAGGTGCTTCAGAGAGAGGTTACGTGGGTAACAGGAGGAGTAACAAAATAAGGATACAAAGCTGGTTTTGGCTAAATTTCTGGAGAAATGACCACAAGATGTATTAAGCTGAAGAGCTGTCTCCCCAAAGCAATGGTGGAATGTGTTTAAAAGCAGACTGGAGAATCCAGTAGAGACAGCAGTCATGTCCAGTTGGTCAGAAGTGACCCAGATGGTCTTCTCCATCACCAGCTTCTACAGTTCTCCACTTAGCATGAAAGCATACAAGTCTACAGCGACCACAGTCCCTCCAATGAAAGAACATCCCGGGCTCATTAAGACTCTTGGATACTAAAATGGTTCTTCATTTCCATCCTGGAAGACCTTCATGAGTTCTGGAGTCCGCTTTAGTCGGGCTGCACCATGGGCAGCCTTCAGGCGTACACCTGCATGTTGTTCCGCTGCTGCTCCGTCATGTGGGCGGCCGCGGGCCCGCGCT